CTTTACACACTAAACACAGACTAGAACAAGACACTGTAAGGTGTCAGCTAGCTTTCACTCTCGAGTCCAGAAACCAAGCGCGTACCCTAACAATAACGGGGCTGCCGGGCGAAATAGGCTGGCTGACTAGCTCTAGCCCGCCGGCGCAGCTACGCAGAACACTGACAATCCTACGAGAATCAAATCACAGTTAAAGCGCGACGTGATGCCTGTGTGTCTGTGCAGGGTGGGGTGAGGCGCAGTGTTAGCTGCCCACCCGGTGGCAGCAGACTGGAGCTCGGCATGCCTGTCTGGTCGCCTCGCCCTCAGGGCCCCGAGCCCAACCCGCAGCTGGCCGTCAGGTCCGTTAACCTCCTCACCGTGCCTTTGGACAACAAGCAGCCACTGCGGCGCTACCCCAACCAACGGGGCTAGAAGACCGAGAGTGTCCGACCTCATGTAAACCACTGCTGCCCACATTCGGGGCACCCATTGCGCCTAGATTCAGGGCACCTCTGACGCCATCCAAATGTGAAATCCATTGAGTTTATCCATGTGCAGGCAAACTTGTGTGCAATGTCTGGGGCCAGCATGGATAAGTACACGGCGAAAACGGTACCCGGTTTTCCCAGGAGCCCTACGGCGAAGACATAGGCGATTTCCAGGGTGTTCCTGGGAAAACCAGGAACCGCTTTTACCGTGTAAGCTCTGTATTTACATGACAAAGATGCCCTAAAACTAGGCGACTGTGTCCCCCGAAACTAGGCGACTCAAGTCGCCTTAAAAACTGGGGCGGGCGACTAGTCGGTCAGTTTCTGGGCACCACCTTGTCTCGTGTAGGGAAGAAAGTTCCTAAAAATGCAGGAAGGCGGGAGAGGGGCGGAAGGGCAAACGCTTGAAGCCGAGCGTACTAACCACTACGCTTCACGAAAGGCGTAAAAGTACGCTTCAGTTCTACCTGTTTTTTAGCAGAGGATACCTTTACACACTAAAACACACAGACTAGAACAAGACACTGTAAGGTGTCAGCTAGCTTTCACTCTCGAGTCCAGAAACCAAGCGCGTACCCTAACAATAACAGTGGCTGCCGGGGCGAAATAGGCTGGCTGACTAGCTCTAGCCCGCCGGCGCAGCCTACGCAGAACACTGACAACTCCTACCGAGAATCAAATCACAGTTAAAGCGCGACGTGATGCCTGTGTGTCTGTGCAGGGGGGGCGCAGTGTTAGCTGCCCACCCGGTGGCAGCAGACTGGAGCTCGGCATGCCTGTCTGGTCGCCTCGCCCTCAGGGCCCCGAGCCCAACAAGCAGCCACTGCGGCGCTACCCCAACCAGAACCTGGGGCTAGAAGACAAGTAGGGGTGCTTCCAGCGATGATGATTTGGAGATGGCGGTGATGATTCATGTTGCTGGTGTCGGCAAAAACACTCTTAAATTTTATCGCGTGTTTTCGTGTCTCTTAGAAATGTTCAAATTTTTTTACTGTTTAGCTTTATTTAAAAGTTTTTGGGCTTTGAGTGCTTAGCTGGTTAAAAAGGTTCAAAAATACTCTTAAATTTTATCGCGTGTTCGAGTCCCTTTGAAATGTTCAAATATACTGTTTAGTTTTATCATGTGGTTTTTGTGTGTACTTAGCTGGTTAATAGTGTTCAATACGACTTTTAAGTTTTATGACGTGTTTCTAAGTGTACTTAGCTGGTTAAAAAAGTTCAAAATTACTCTTAAATTTTATCGCGTGTTTTCGTGTTTTTAAAATGTTCAAATACACTGTTAAGTTTTATCGTGAGTTTTTGTGTGTACTTAGCTGGTTAATAGTGTTCAATAGTGCTTTTAAGTTTTATTACGTGTTTCTAAGTGTACTTAGCTGGTTAAAAAAGTTCAAAAATACTCTTAAATTTTATCGCGTGTTTTCGTGTCTCTTAGAAATGTTCAAATATACTGTTTAGTTTTATCATGTGGTCTTTGTGTGCTTAGCTGGTTAAGAGTGTTCAAAAATACTCTTAAATTTTATCGCGTGTTTTCGAGTCTCTTAGAAATGTTCAAATATACTGTTAAGTTTTATCGTGTGTTTTTGTGTGTACTTAGCTGGATAATAGTGTTCAATAGTACTTTTAAGTTTTATGACGTGTTTCTGAGTGTGCTTAGCTGGTTAAAAAAGTTTAAAAATACTCTTAAATTTTATCGCGTGTTTTCGTGTGTTTTAAAAATGTTCAAATACACTGTTAAGTTTTATCATGTGCTTTCGTGTGTACTTTGCTGGTTGAAAGTGTTCAGTAGTACTTTAAAGTTTTATCGCGTGTTTCTGAGTGTACTTAGCTGGTTAAAAGTGTTCAAAAATATCTTTAATTTTTGTGACATATTTTCATGTCCGTTAGAAATTTTCAAAAATGCACTTTTATTTCAAGACGTGTTTTCGTGTGTGTTAGAAATGTTCAAAATGCACTTTAATGTTATCTCGTGTTTTCGTGTCAGATAGAAATCGAAGATACTCTTCCATGTTACAACGTGTTTCGGATCTGCAAGAATTGTTTAAAAATACAAGGGAATTTGGTTAAGTCTCTGGTGTCTCGTGTATTCGTGTCTGTTAGAAATGTTCATACATTTTCTTAAATTTTGTTACGTGTCTGTCGTGTTAGTTAGAAATGTTTAAAATATTAGTAAATTTTGTTACGACTCTTGTGTCTGTTAGAAATGTTCAAAAATACTCTTAAATTTTATCACGTGTTTTCGTGCCTGTTAGAAATGTTCAAATACTTTCTTAAATTTTTTGACGTGTCTTCCCTGTTTATGTTAGAAAGGTTTAAAAATCCTCTAGTTTTGTCTGACGTCCGTCAGAAATGTTCAAAAATACTATTGTGTTTTACGTCTTTCTGAATGTACTTATCTGGTTAAGAATGTTTATGGCGTGTTTTTCGTGTGAATCCAGCTGTTTAAAAAGAGATGTAACGTTCAACGGCCCACAAAAAAATATTCTAGCTGCTGAGCTTCTTGCAAGTAGGAGGCTTGGTTTAGAGGTTTTTTTTGTTATTTTTTAATTAGATAGCTTTGCATACATAGCTGGTACCTTAAAGCATCGACTTCATGTAATTCCCATCTAAGGTATAGTAAATGTGGGAGAGAGAAGCTCGGGGTACTCGCCGTGCCGGGTTTTCAAAGGCTGCTTCGCTTCGCTTCGTAAAACCCCCCAAAAATGTTTGATGGGCTCTAATGTATTTTAGTTTATTACTTTGTTTCGTGTTATTTTGGTGTTATTTTTCAAAATAAATTATTTTATGTTTTAGATCTTTTTTGTTATTTGCAAACTTTCACCTGTCCAATGGATTCAAGAGTTTCGGATGAAATGAGAGGTATGTTTATGATACAGACACTAAGTTCAGAACAAAGCACTCACAGAACGCCGCGGGAAAAGAGGGGGAAGGGAGGGGCCGTTGGTTGCCTGACTGCCGTAAGGATTTGATGATTAGACGGGGTGCTGCAGTATGTTGGTTCAAAAATATTAAGTGCTCACGCGCTTGTGGTCCAATGCAGATCAGGTGGAAAATGCCGACTCTGGGAGAACCGAGGCTGTCCAGGACCAGAGTTTCAGTCTGCAGACTAAATGCTCATGAACTTTTTTTGTATTTGAGTCTTGTCGTATTGGTGCAAGTGTACAACTACATAAATTAGGAGAAATTTTCGAAACATAAACATGAGCATTAAATAGAAATATTGTGCCTAATTTTGTGTTAAATTGTTCATAGCTCACATATGTACGAATCTGTCAATGGTTCTGGGCAATAAGTGCGTAACCGTTGAGTGTGCGAGGCAGACGGGGTGGGGCACTGGCTGGGTACTGGCCGCGGTGCGTGGGCGTGCGAGACCTTTCGACGACCAGGGCGCTACGGCAGCGCGGAGGTGGCCGCGGCGCCAGACCCCGTATTGATTTGTGGGTGGCGGCCCTGGCGGCCCTGGCGGCCGTGACCGCCGCTACCCCCTGCGCGCTGCGCAGCGCTGGGCGGCCGACTGGCAAGGGGTAGCGACCCCCCCAGCCCCCCACCCCTTTCCCTCTCCATCCCGACCAGAAACCACGCGCGGTCCGCGCGGCTGACACGGCTGCGATGTTGAACTCATAAGCCACTCCCCGATTTTAAGGCTTTCGAACCCTTGGGATGCCGCACAAGGTTTCATGTGCCGTTTCTCAAATCTGCAGTTTAAATTCTCATGAGAAAGGAGCGGAAAATAATGGGCGGAGAAACACTTCTCGAGAAAACTCGTGCATGCGATAAGAGCCTGCTTTCTGCATTGAGGATGACCCAGCCGAACCGATGGTGCGGCTCGCAGAACCCGCCTCGTCACGCGAAGGTCAGTGACAAGGAGCCGCGTGGCTGTCTGGCTGCAGTGCCGGTCCGCCGACGGTCCGGCGGCGGGCCGGTGCTGCCCACGCTCCCCCCTCACCGAGGGGATACTCACTTAGGTAAAAGTCGGTTGTTCGCTTTGTGATTGATCTGTTATAGTTCTGTGCTGTGATTTATTTTATGCAAGTTATTGATCAGATAATGAGGAACAGAGGGGAAAAAAGGGCAAATAGGAAAAACTTGGGGCTTTTTTTTGTCCCATTTTTGCCATTGTAACATGTGGAAAAGCTTTCCGGATCTAATAAATTAACACAACGCTTACAAAATTAAATGCCCCCAATAAAAATGACCCATCACCCCTTCAAATTAAATATTAAAATAGTTCTAAATGGCCCAAAATGCTTGTTTTACGCTTAAAAACACCGCGTCCGTATTGAAAGGTGTAATAGGCGTAATTGGTGTAATACTTCCGATAAGGTAACAGTCGGTTGACCTTTCGAGAGTGAATACCCTCTCCAATCTCACTCGCTCCCGAGAACCACACTGGATGCTGCGCGTCCGCACGACGTAATAGTCTATATTCAGTGTGGCGTGTGCGAACGATATCGTTACGTCATTGAGATGAGTTTGTTGCCAAGGTGGTCCGTCCCGGCCTGGCGCTTCCCGCGGAACCTCGCGTCTCGCTCGCGTCGTTCAGTCCCCATCCAGCACTCGAGCGCACTCTACGCCCACGGACGGGCCGGCCGCAGTGAGTCAAGTCAGTCAATCCCGCTGGGCGGCTCGAGCCTCCATCGCAGCATTCACTGGTGAACCCAAAGCTTTCGCTGTTGCATTCAAGCTCGAAGACCTGCGCGCTCCTTGAGGCGCGCTCACAAAATTCCCTCCATGCATTCAGATAATAATGAGGGGGGTGCTCGATCGCCCACTTCGCCGCCGGATGTACCGCCACTTGGCTATTTCTCAGAACTGCGCGATAAAACCTGAGCAACTTATTCGTTAAAAGCTGAAACTACATGCCATAATTGAAAACCCTTCATAGTAAGTACACTGTGAAAATTTGTTGTCACTTTATGACAAAAACGTGAATGGTATTTCCATCACTTAAAAATTATTAAAATCTCATCACAAATTGATGACGTTTTCATCAGAGCCCCCATACTTATTGCATGGGCGTGGCAACAATGTCATCAATTGTTTTGATGACATTGTTGTAAGGAAAATTAGCCTTGAAATTGTCATCAAGTGACGACTCAAATTTTCTCAGCGTGACTGCACTGGCTCAGCAGTCTATGCTTTCCGCTCGTGCTGAAGAAAAGAGACTCGGTAGAAAACTTGAGTGCGTTGGCACTCCGCACGCTTCAGAACGGCCAGTAAGACGCTTGAAAAAAAAAAACTTTACGCTTTGGTTTTACCATCATCAGTGAACGAGCACAATTACAGAGCTCAGCACTAATTGCGATACACGAATCATAATACCTGCTCGGTCGGTCGGCTCGGCAGTCTAGCTCAGTTATCAATCCGGCAGGGGACAGGGGGATTAGGAGCTTCGCGCTCATTTAAGACAGTCAGAATGACACGTCGGGGACGCAGGGAACCGACAAGGGAGTTGGAGATTGAACAGGGTTGTGACGTCTCGGCGCTTCCAGGAAATGGCGTCCGCCACACCGCAAGGCTTTGAATGGCGAGGGCCGCCGGCGCCACCGCACCCCGAGCTCCCCATCGGCCAGGTGCTGCTGGATGCCCTGCGGAGACACGCCGCCGACCTCACCAAGCCGGCGCAGGTAATTCAGCGGAGTGGGACGGAGTGGGACGGAGTGCCTCGAGATTCTTCCGCCAGCGCGGGGCGTCCTCGGCCCGCCCTTGCTGCAAGCCTGCAGGAACATGCCACCACTATGCAATTTGTTTGAGTGGCGAACCCAGCTTTCGCGAAAGTTAAGCTGAAAACGTCATGGTCGGACACATGGCCAAATTATGGCTTGACGAAAATCGGCATGATATGTGAGTCACGCCGTCATTTGGCGTGAATGACGGAGCGTTTTATGAGAAAAGTCATGCCAAAAACCGGCATGACAAGAAATTTACGCCAGCATTAGGCGTGAATTTTTGAGCCACGCCGACTTTCAGCATGACTTTTCCGTTTTTTGCCGTGATTCTTTATTCACGCCCCGAAAACGGCACGGTCACGCCGATAGACTTTAAGTAGCTAAGAATATTAGTTGTGAGAACTCATTTTTAAAGGCTGTTGGAGCAAAATATTTGCTGCTGAAGCAAATTTTTTGTTGACCTTTTGCCCAGTGGAGTCACGTGAAATCGAATATGACATGATGACATTACATCAAACAAACGTGTCGTCCCATTCCTGGATTCCCCGCCTGCAGAGACAAAATGGCACTGCCACAGGATGACTCCATTGCGACCCCCTTTGTCTCTGGAAAGGATGGATACAAAGTTATATAACGTATCCACGACGCCTCAAGAATGTCTCATGTGGAGACATCGACACATGTTTTGGGCATGCTATATTTGTGCACATGTAAGCTTTTGTACAATTTAATGCATAAATTTGGTGCAATTTTTCCATATTGTGCCTGAAATATTTTGAAAATGGTACCTAATCTGTGTTCAAATTTGTACACAACTCACACCTGCACAAACTCGTCAATAGGTCCATGTGTGTGGAATAACTTAAGCATAAGCACTTCCAAAAGCCTATTAGTGTGTAGAAGAATCTACCTATTTTTGTACGGTTAATCGTGGAAAGTTTACACTGTGTCCCACGCGGTCGCCGCAGGAGTACAGTGCCTGCGAGTAGTACTCCACTCCACACACGCGCGGCCCAGAAGCGCGTGTAGGCAAACATTGAGATTACGTCATCGACTCGCGTGCTCGGGGTCGGGGTACGCGGCGATAACACCTGCACTGTACGGCGCTATCCCGTTTCGTTTCGCTTTTCAGGTGTGTCTAGCCCATCCTAGTACAGTATCTAGTCCCAATCTGGCGGCCCCTTTCCGTCCGTGTCAAGGCCGCAGAGGGCGCGAGCGCGGGCAGGTCGCGGCAAGACGCGGGCTATGAGACCGCAGCACAGTGGACCAGAAGACCGGGAGGTGCCGGCAACTCATAATCGCTTCGAACACACTATAAATGCTTGTGGACTTTTTGTACTTAAGTATTGACGCATTTGGGCTTGCAGGTGTATAAAATCGGCCCCTCCCATCCCAACTTGTCGCGGTGCGAGGACACCATCCTGGCTCGCTTGCCTGTGGCTTCAGGCCTTTCTCGCCTGGCATACGATCATGTGTGGTCTAGCCCTTAATGATAATGGCAATGGAGGGGTAGGCCGCCTGCCCGACCCCCAACACACCGGAGTGGAGACGGTGGCCTACCTTGCCCCTGTCGTCTTCACACGGGTAAGGTAGGCCACCGTCTCTTCAGCGGTGCCATGCGGGCCGCTGGCCTACCTCGCAGGCGCCAAAGGACGCAAAAGACAAGCGGCTGCAGAACCCTCGGTGAACCTTCATGGTGAAACCGTGGTTTTGCACGAAAATTCGCTCATGCACACAGCAAGCGGTGGCCTCACGATCTGACGTCCTGACCTGACCCGGTCGAGATTGTGTCCTGCAGCAAGTGGAAGTGCCAAGGCTCGTTTCGGGGGCGGGGTCCTGGCGCGGGGCCTCACTGGTCTTCCTTGGCCGGTCCGTTTCGAGCAAGCACACTCTCAAAACTATACAAACTGTTTTGAGCCTCACAAGACAGATTGTTTTGATCATACATATTCTAGCTTAAAAAAGAGAATACTTCGGAATTTCGCGTGTCATTTCTTCGTACGGGAGACTAATTAGTTTGAACCGAACATATGCTCAAAGTACTTGTTTTAAGCGTGCAGCGCCGTGTTGCTTGAGGCGCCCGAGGCTCGGCACGGCGGTGCACTTTGGACCGACCGAACCAAGCTTGCTGAGTGGGCACCAGGAGTCGCGCCATCCTCTCTTAGACTGATTCCGAGGGTCGGTTTCGTCGCTGTCTCGCTTGCACCGAAACGGGACGACCCATGAGAGCGATAGAGACAGACCGACGAAAACGACTCACGAAATCAGTCCGCCGGGGCCCAGACGGATCGCGTGGAGGGGAACGGAGGGAGGGGAACCGAGACGAGCCTGTGGTGAAGCAAGGCGGCTGTCCGGCCGCTCTGGGCAGCGGAAAATGCCCGCTCTGAAAAATAACAAACTATTAAGCCTTACAAAGAAAAGGAGCTAGCTGTTATATAACAAAATGAGCATACTTAAGTTTACAAAGAAAACACTTTGTAATTTACGAACTATTTCTTCGTACTACAAACTAGATAGTTTGCACTTTACATGTGCTCAAATTATAAACTTCGTGAGGTTTGTCCCTCTTTATCTCGAGGAGATTTCAGACAAGGCAAAGCATCTTGCAAGGGGCATTTTGACCCTATGCCTTTCATCGCGGACAGGACGTTTCGGGGGAGGGGGTGTCTTCGCGGCGCCTGGCAGCGCCTGGCAGCGCCTGGCAGCGCCCAGGGCCTTCGCCGCCTTCGCACATGTGGCAACGACGGGGACACACCGGGACACACCAGGACACGCCACTCTAAGCTGCGTCCATAAAGAGGACGATCTCGTCTTAGAGATTACGCACTAAACTTGAGTGCGTACTAGTAAACACAAGTTTTGAGTGTACTCTTCTGATGACGGAATCTTCTCGCTCTCCCTCAGCCAGGGAATGTCGGTCACACTGAAATTACGTTTGACTCTGGCTGAACCAGTGCCCAATGCTGGGATGGGGGCATGACAACCCCCCCTTTTTTTGGAGCACTAGATACCTGCCTGGAAGGTAGGCAAATTGCGGCACATTCCGCCAGGCATGGCTTGACCCCCCCCCCCTTTCCCCTTTTCCAAAACTTCTGCGCACGCTACTGCTCGGCCTGAGAATACCCCTTTTGGGTGTGTCCGCGAGATGCCAGTTGGAATATGGCATTGAGAGGAAAGAAGAAGAAAGAGACAGCACTTTCTTCGTCCCACAATGTAGATCGAGGCGGCCTCCGGCTCCAGCAAGACGTACGCCGAGCTGCTGCGCGACTGGGTGCACGCGGCGGCGGGCTGGCGGTCCCTGGGCATCGGCGTCAACGACACCGTGGCCGTCTTCACGCGCAACAGCCACCACAGCTACACGGCCATGATGGGCGCCGTCCTGGAGGGCGTCACCCTGGCCACCATGGTCCCCACCGCCAACGAAGGTGCGCGCCGTGCGTTCCGCGCACCGCACAGTGGATTTGCCAGAAGACCGGTGGAGGCGGCCAAAACTCTCGACGCGTTTTGAGCTCCAGAGTCGCTAAATGGGACTCGAACCGCACGTGTGGCCCCGCCAATGGTTTGCTCTCCGAACGAGGAATCCCACGTTCTGTTCGATTCCCATTTTAGTGACACTGGATCTCAAAGCGCATCTAGAATTTTGGCCGCCTCCACCGGTCCTCTGGCCCAGTATGCGGCAGACGCGTCGGTGGAACTGTCTGCCTTGCGTTATTGCAATGTTTGATTTTATTTTTTTTACTTTTTTTTTTGTTTGCAAAATTCGCAGCTGAGGCTCGTCTGCTGCTATCCCGCGTCCACATCCGCGCCTTGGTGTGCGAGCCAGCCAACATCCAGGTCAGTTGCTGAGGTGGATGCCAAAAACTCTGCCCTCCGAATGACTCACGGAGGATGCACGAAACGCCATTGGGAAATGAATTAAGATTGGAGGTCTGTCTGGGACCCCGCCTGCCGAAAACAGCTCGCGCTAAGGTGTGGCGTTTACCCTTTCCCGTTTCGGCAGGTGGCCCTGAACGTGCTGCCGGCGGGCGCCGTGCTGGTGGTGGCGGCCGAGAGCACGGGCGTGGACAACGCCGGCGTCATCGCCGTGGCCGAGCTGGTGCGCTGGGGCGGCACCGTCAACGTGGACACGTACCAGGCGGCCGACGTTGGCGACCTGCGCGACCACGTCTGCTGCATCGTGTACTCGTCCGGCACCACGGGTCTGCCCAAGGGCGTCATGATCACCAACTACGGCCTCGTCGCCAGCACGCTCCAGTAAGGCAGTGCCTATGAGTTCAGCATCGCACCCATGTCAGCCGCGCAGAGCCCGCGTGGTTTCTGGCCCAAAATCCCGGACGCGTTTTGAGCGCCACAGTCGTTAAACATGACTCGAACCGAGCATGTGACGCGTAATTTTTATGCCTTTGTTTTACCAGTGTGTGACCCCACCAATGGATTCCTTGTTCGGAGAGCAATCCATTGGTGGGGTCACACGTTTGGTTCGAGTCCCATTTAGCGATTCTTGGCTCAAAACGCATCTGGGATTTTAACCACCTCCACCGGTCTTCAGGCCCACTGTGCTAGCGGCATGCTGACGGCAACCTCCGATGCAGGCCCAGCTGGTCCGTCGTCCCCAGCGACACGGTTCTGGTGACGTCCGCCGTGTCTTGGATCACGGGCATCTTCTACCTCATCGTGCCCGTTATCGTGGGCGCCACCCGGGTCGTCCTCACGTACACCAACGAGAGCGAGTGCCTCGACGTGATGCGTGAGCACAAGGCAAGTGTTGGCGCGGGCGCGGGCCGGGCACACGCCTCGGCACACGCCGTGGACTCGACCGGTTGACACCGCCACCGACAGTGTCACCGACACACGGTGGATTTGCCAGAAGACTGGGGTGGAGGCGGCCAACACTCTAGACGCGTTTTGAGCTCCCGAGTCACCAAATGGGACTCGAATCGAACGTGTGACCCCACCAATGGATTGCAATGGGGGAAACTACTGGTGGGGTCACACGCTCGGTTCGAGTCCCCTTTAGCGACTCTGGAGCTCTGCACGCATCTAGAGTTTTGGCCGCCTCCACCGGTCGTCTGGCCCGTCTGGCCCACGCCCACAATGCTGAGTGCCGCGTCCCTGGCGGTCGTCCCTGGCGGTCCCTGCCTCCAGGTGTCCATGCTGTTCATCGCGCCGGCGCGCTACTTCCTGCTGGCCGGCCACGTCAAGGCCCTGCGCAAGAAGGGCGTCGTCGTGGACCTCTCCAGCTTGCGCGTGGCGCTGGCGGGCGGCGCCGCCATGTCCGCCGACTTGCAGAAGACGTGCTCCGAGGTGCTGGGCGTGGGCATCGTGCAGGCCTACGGCTGCACCGAGCACCTCATCCTGAGCGCGGACACCTTGCCGCCGCGCTTCGGCTCCGCGGGCAAGCTCGGCGCCGGCGTCCGCGCCAAGGTGAGCCTGAAGAGCCTGGAGCCGGAGGCCTGGAGGCTGGAGGGGGAGACTCGGGCCTGTCTTGTCACACAGACACGTGTGTCGGTCTTCAGGTCTTGTACCAGCGTAGCGTACGGTTTGTTTCTCTTTCAAAGTGCGCGTGAAAGAACAGCAACACTGTGTTGCAGCTGGTGAACATTCGCACGGGCGAGGTGATCCGCGACGCCAACACGGAGGGCGAGATGAGGGTCAAGTCGCACAGCTACATGAAGGGCTACATCGGGGACCCCGTGACGACGGCCAAGGCCGTGGACGAGGACGGCTGGTACTGCACCGGCGACCTGGCCAAGTTCGACGAGGAGGGCAGAGTCTTCATCACGGACAGGATCAAGGAGCTGCTCAAGTTCATGAACATGGAGGTGAGCAGCCGCCATCCCGGAGCACCGCCGGTCTCAGCGGCCTGGGCCTGGGCGTGTAGCTCGGCGTGTAGCGCCTGTGGGGTAGGCCCCCAACCAGGCCCGCAACACACCGGCGCCGAGAATGTGGCCTACCTTGCTCAGTGTTCTGTTTTGATCTTTTGGCTCGTCTAATTATTTATTTGAAAGCACATGAGCTAAAATTTTTCAAAGACATTCTGATCGAAATTTTATCCAAGAACGTACAAAAATAAGTAAAAGGTAGACAAGCCACGCGTCTGAGCGCCTGGACGATAGGCCTTAGCTGTGTGTGTCGAGCTTCGGTGTCGCGAGAATTGCCTACCCGTCGCTTGCCAGGCGCCCACGCGGTATCCCGACGATCCTGACCTACGTCGGTGCGTGTGCTCTCCAGATGACGCCGTCAGAGATAGAGGACGTCCTGATGACCCACCCGGCCGTGCGGGCCGCCTGCGTGGTGGGCCGGCACCACGACGTGGTGGGGGACATCCCCACCGCCTTCGTGGTCCTCTTCCCCGGCCAGGCGGCCTCCGAGCAGGAGATTAAGGACCTCGTTAAGGGTAAGCCCGGCCCAGCCCTGACCACGAGTCGTCCTCCTGGCCAAAAGTTGAGATTGATTTTTAAGCGTGAGTGGCCCGGTTCGGCTGCACCCTTTGATGCTAACTCATCGACATTGCCGTGTTTCTCTTAGCCCGACTGTCGGCAAACAAGCAGCTACGCGGAGGCGTGTTTTTCTTGGACGAAATTCCCACCTCAGTGAACGGCAAGTACGACCGGAAGGCACTGAGGGACCGCCTGAGCAAGCTTCCGCCCGTCAGCGACCAGGTCCTGGGCATCGCCAGCCAGCCCTGACGGCACTGCCATGGCCACGCCGTGAGTTCTCCACCCAAAAGTGATATCGACAAACAAAGGCGGATCACTGACAAGATGCCGTCTACAGTATTGACGTAACATATCTGTTTTGTTCCTTGTTTCTCGCCTAGTTTATCTGGGCTATGTTATCTTTATTGTTAGTACAAATTGTTAGCATTAAATTATAATGAAAACGAGTTTGAGATTGGGCAGTCCTCCAGATTTGTGCAAGCCCGATTGTAGTAAGTGACAAAGATCATTTAAACCTCACCACCCCACCCTAATTATCTTTAACCCCTGCTGGCGCCGTTCAATTCTGCACTTTATGAACTAAGAATAAAACCTCCAAAATTATGTTAAATGTTTAACTGCACCTTTTCCAAAAACTGTGAAGATTTTTAAATATGCTACCTTCAAAGCAATGCAGCAACAGCTTTAGTAAAGTGAGGGGAGCCAGGTCGTAAAAGACAATGATATAAGTTTTGAGATATATTGGAGGTATAATAACATACACGTAGGGCACCCTTGGGGCCCCTAGGGGCCTTGTAAACAGCAATTGCTCAATTGTATTGCACACATTTATCTATTTCAGCAGTTACAAATGTGCGTATTAAGCAGTACCGCTGAGTACACACACATGATCATTCTATCAAAACAATCACAGAACTCATAGTATTTCTTCCATTTAAATTTAACTTAAACTAAAACAAAAGTTATCTCACCCTTAAAACTACTGTTTTTGTTTTCATTGAACAAATATAAATGGTAACAACACAGCAAAGAGAAGAGACACAGTTTAAAAGCAACTGTACGAAACTTACTAAAAAAAATTATTTCACACCTCACTGCCCTTTGATTAGTGACTAAAATAGAATTAACAGGTGACAAGACTGACAAGAAGGCCAAGAATTTTCCATATCCTTCATAGTCAAAAACATGTAAAAAGATAAGAAATTAAAGTCAAGAAATTCAAAGCAAAAGTGGAAGTATTTCAAATTTACATGGTGTTTGATCTCAATAGGCTGATTCCAAATTCCAGAGAACACACAACTGACAGATAATACATGAAAAATGTGACTACAATTATATATATAAAAGGAAAATACCATGCCTGTACGTAAGATGGATGAACACAAATCATTACTGTAATTGAAAAACAGCTGAAATCCAAAATAATTAATAATTATTTGAAAATTGAGGGTACATTTTAAAAAAAGGTGCGTTAAAATGAACAACTATGGACTACCCAATTGATCAACATCTTTGAATGGGAAAAAAAAGTCCACATGTTGTTTGAAACAGATTCAAATATTGACCATCATTCATTCCGATTTTAAACAAGGTAAGACAAATGCAAACAAGGTAAATACAAATGCATGACTCCTTTTAAAGTTCTTTATGCGGTCATTCTGAAGCGTCATCTAGCTCACCCAACTCAGGCTGCATAAAAGATGGAGACTGTTCACCTGGTAGTGATATAGAGCTCAGTTCGGGTGGTGGGATAGCAGAATTATCATCAGCCTCATCCTCCTCTTCCATTGCATTAGTATCACTGCTATTATGCCTCTCTCTTTTTCTGTCCCACTTTTCCTCCTCCTCTTTCTTTGCCTCCACCCGCGCTTTCATTCTTGAACCTCTTTCCCGCATCCTATCCCTGTCTCTTTCATTTCCTCTGTCCCTTTCTTTCCCCCGTTCTCGCGCCGACTCCTTCTCTCTCGCTCTGTCGCGGTCGTCCTGAGGATCACGTCGCTGCCGATCTTTCGGGCGATCGTGCAGGTTCTCTCTTGATTCTCGTACACGTTTCACGTTTGAAGGTTGTCTGTGATTGTCAGTAGAATGGTCACCTTCCCTCTGCTTATCTTCAGGGTCCGACTGCACAGGTTCAGAGTCTTTCTCCACTTTCACATCTGTAAGGCAATAATCATATTAAGCATACAGAGCAAAATTTGCAACAAATCAAACAACAGTTTTGGACTTACTTGCAAAACGTATTCTGTTCTCCTTATTTTCAACAGGGCTGTCACCAGTAACCTCCTGCAATTCTTCATTGTCTTCCGTAGGTCCATTTTCCGTGTTCATTTCCTCTTCTTCTTCATCTTCAAAATGTTGTTCCCCAGCATTTTCAGTCTTAACCTGGACGTTGCCTTCCAGACGCTCTAATTCCTCCTGGAGAGCTGTTCTTTTCTTCTCCATTATTTCTAGAAAATGTAAACATTGTAGTTAGAAATCAGCATTTTAAAAATTTACTTGAACTTTTCCTATTTATCATCTAAAGGACTTACTTGCGATAACCTTTTGACTGGCAACAAGCCTTTCCTCAGTCTTTGTATTTTGAACTTTTGGTAAATAGAAAATTGATGGCTTTGCTTTTGTTTGAATAAAATTCAATAAGGGTCTATGCCTAGCTTCCCACTGGTCTTGTTCTTTGACCCGTTGAATTTTGGTCTCAATGCGGCGAATTTCCTGCTGTTTTTTGCGTCTGTCAAGAAACAATTCTTGACGTTCTTTTTTCATCTCTTCTTTTTCCCGTTTTGCAGCTTCTTCAAGCTTTTTCTCAACTACTGCTCGTTTGTCTTCCCGGTCCCTCATCCTTGTTTCTTCTTGTCGAAACCGCTGAAGGGTTCCCAAAAGGGCTCCAAACATTCGTCTATTTCTTGCTTTACTTCGCTCATCACCCTGAGCAGCTAGTATAACCTCCTTAGACGGAAGTTCACGGGTCTGAGGAATTACACGAGAACTAATGGCAGGTTTAAATTGAGCATCGTCTTCTTCTATTTCCTCTTCTTCCTGTTCCTCTCTCCTGTAAAACTTTGAGAAGGGCCCAGGAAACTCATCATCCTTTTCCTTTTTGATGTGTTTTATAGGAGGTCCAGACAATCTGCTGAAAACATTGCCAGGTCCATCTCCCAGCCTCCTGCGAATTCCGGGAGGTCCTTCATCCTCCTGCGGCCGTCCAGGATGGCCAATTCTACCCCTTTAAATTAAAAAGAAACTTAAGAATCAGTCCAATTTTCATTTCAAAAATTCATCAAACAGCAAAAAATTCAACTTACCTTCCTCCGCCCATTTGAAAAGATCCTCTCCCTCTAGCATAAAAATCATCATTTTGAGTGGCAGGTCTCTTCTGTCCGGGCCTAAAATCAGAAAGCAGACAAAAAAAAACACAAACCTTAAAGTTGCTTACAATTTGACATGATTTAAGTGAGTATTTAACTTTGATTAGAACCAACAAAATAAAAAAAAAATGGTGGCACGAGGTTAGGTAACCTAACAACCTTAAAGAGTGCGTCCTTCAATGAAAGAAAGCCATTACTGGAAGTAACGAGACAAACGTCGAGTAAGGTCACAACAAAGGCTTAGAAAATATGATGCACCGAAACATTATATCGCCATAATGCAACATGATTTGCCATTGTCGGCTTACCTAGGCGGACCCTGTCCTGGAGGCTGGGCCTCGGGGTCCCTCCCAATAATCCGTTTTATGTGACTGTCCACATTCCGAAGACCTTCTTTGGCTTTCTGCAGCTCATCCTGTAAAGCACTGAACGTTTTCAGAACTTCGGTAGCCATTTCAACTTACAATACTTCAAATATTTAACGAAAACGAGCATTCGGCCAAAGAACCAACAAGAACAAGCGTAGACAAAAGATAGGAGTTGTTTAGGTCAGAAGTACCAACTGTGTCTCACCACATAAGGGAAACTTGGAAAACAGTGAAGTTCAAGTTTCTGTTACTTATTTCACAACGAATAGAAAATAAAAATGAGAAGGGATGGTGATTTCAAATCTTGGGAGTATTATTTCTCAGGTGTGCGTGGTTCTTCCTGGTTCTTCCCTCCGGAAACTGCTCATCTTGTTTTAGCGGGTTTTTTGAAAGTTCCCGGGGCCTGCATGAGATTGATCAGAGATTCTGCGTCTTAACGGATTCGCTCTGCTCTCTTTGCATTAATCAGCCTTCTCAGCTTGAATTTTCTTATTCCAAACAATGCACTTAATTGTGACGTCATTTGCTGCGTCGGTTTTGTCAATTTCAATCCCAATGTAGACGTCCCCCACGCTAGATGTCTCCTAACCGAATATGAATATGCATGTGATGTGATATGTGAAACAAGATAGAAACGAGGCGAAAGCCAGCGAAAGCTTATTTGTTTGAATTTGAATGCGGCGTGATTGTTTCACTCAACAAATTTTGTTTGCGGGTTGTCTCATCGTAAGGTTTCGACGATTCGTCTTGTCTTTTTTCATGTTATTTCACAAAATCAAGTCCACTGAACTGCTTGTGTCTTCGCAGTATCTTTGTCTTTCCCCGTCCTATGTTTCTGGAGGTTGTCTCTCACTAAGAGTTCCTTTTATACATTTTTCTCCCTTTGGCTTTTTTTTTGGTTAGTTTTTCTCTTTTTGTGTCTGTCTTTGTTTTCCCTTCCCACCTCCCGCTTTCATGCCTCATGTTCTCTCCCTCCATTTCTGTCGGTATTTTGTACCATAACCTTAACGCAGTTATGTTAGATCTTTAATATTATTATGATTGTATTATATAATTATGCAACTCTATCGCCTCTTGTTTTGATGAGGAATTTTTGTAAAGCCCTTCTACCATCTTTTATTCAACCTTATGTCTTCTCAAGTTAGTTAGTCCAAAGCAGTGTGTGTTATTTACAAGTCTTCTTTGGTCTCCAGGCTGCATTCATGAATTTAGTCAGTCAAGGTTAGCCATGGGCTGGTTTCTATGGAGGAAACCGAACCCAGGATTCACCGGGGTTCAGGAAATTCCTCTCCTGTCAGATGTGGTGAGCATCGACAATTCTTTTTTGTGTTTCCTTCCTGTAAGACGTATTTCAGACAACTCAAATATTTTGAATCAATTTGTAGGTATTTGTTGGCCGGGGAAAGGATTGTACAGTTCACTGCTTAAGTTTGTATGTATCAAGACGTCATCTCAAGTTGATTCCCAAAGATGACGGGTCCATTTCATTGCAGGATCTTGGAGTAAGTATTATCAGATTTAACCTTACCAAAACCTGTAATTTTAGTATGTTTTTTCCCCCTAATTAATGATAATTTTAAAATGTTTCTAGTCATCAAATGGTACTTTTGTCAACCAAATGAAAATCCCACCAAATGCAGAATTTTCTCTTAGATTAGGAGATGAAATTGGAATAGGAAATTTTAATAATGATAATCAGGACTGCTTTGTATACGAAGTTCGTAACATTGAGTTATCAAGACTCAAGGTTGATTCATCAGCTAACGAAGACAAACAAGTGAGTGTCATACCATTACAAGAGCATCAAGTCAGTTGTCTGAAATGTACAGTCTTCATGGGCAAAGAGTCGACTTGGGGTGATGGTCGCTGCATCCATGGTCGCTGCTTATGCAGAGGGACTTATGGCCCCTATAGCTTCGAAGATGAATGACAGCGACCCTATCCGCGCCTATCCGTCTCTCGTACCTGTACGGGACGCCCTATGAGTGCGAGAGAGACAGAGCGACCACAACGACTCTCGGAATCGGTCCGCGGGGAGTCGTCCGGAGCCTGTCCGCACAGGGGTCCAGCGTCGCATCTATGGGCTCTAAGGGCTCTTTGGAACTGGCTTATGGTTTCATGGCCTTCGCGAGTTCGGAGACTGGTCTAGTCTAACGGAGCACTGCCGAAGCCCGGCCTACGAACTATGTGCTGTTCGGTATTCGCGTTGGCAAAGTGTCGAAGTCCGGCCCCGAGCCGTCAACTCTTTGCCCATGAAGACTTTGTATTCCTTTTTGTTCACACACTTAACATGCTCTTGATTATTTCAGCCCATTGACATCAATCAAAACCCTCAGCACCAATTAGAGAGGGGCTTAAAGCGATGTGCTGATGAGCCTGAAATTGTTGTCTTGGATGATGATGACGATGATGCAAATGGTCTCAATTCGAATGGTGTGGAATCATTTTCCAACTCGCTGAAGAGACAAAAAATTGATGAAACTGCTCATTCAACTATTCATCAATCTTCAACTGCTCAATCCAAGGAAACAGAAAAATCAACATGCTGCCCAATAATTCAAGAAGACTCAAAAGTTGCAGCATGTAAAGATCTGTCAAATTTTGCTTTGACTGCCAATGCAGCTCTTGGTGTGGAACATGTGTCAAGTTCTTGTGATGTACCAGAGGTTTCTAGACAGGTCCTTACTAATGCAAAAGCAACACACACAAAGCAGGAGCTTTCATCAAATATTAATACTAGTGATCCAAAATGTGACGAAGTATTCCCGCAGCCTTCTGGCCGGACAATAATGAACATAAAACCTGAGATTAGTTTTCAGAAACCTGCAAATCCACGTGTTTCTGCCATTTTAGAAGGAAGCTGTGATTCATCAACCGCAACTTTAAGATTGTCATCGCCTGCAATTGATGTGAAAAGTAATTTGCCAGTTTTTAGCTCAACTCCACTTCACAATAAACATGTCAAACTGGAAGATATGTCTGGATTGACTCCTCGTGAAATTAAGACTGATGAAGATACACCTTCAATATCTCAAACTGGTGCTGATTTCTCACCAATTGTTAAGGACAAGGTTAAGGATTCCTCAAGGCTAAGTCAGAACTCATCTGCAAACTATACCATAGATGAAGAATTGATTCCTATTGATTTATGTGATGATGAAGATGATGATGAGATTTTCCCTTGCTCTCAGATGTTTACGGAGGAGGAGGAAGTGAAGCCTTGCCTTGAGACTTTAGATAAAGAGATGGGAGTTGTAGATCTTTCCTTGGATGAAGAACCACAGAATAATATATTAGAGAGGGATGATGATGTAGTACTGATTTCAGAAGATGAAGATGAGGAAGAGATTCAGGAAGCTAATAAGTGGTTCAATAGATTGTCTCAGTCATTTATAAAGGTTGAGGCAGAGGACGAGGTTTCCAACGCTGTCCTTCCGACGGAACAACAAGATGATGATATCTGGGAAGATTGGCCGAAAGAGTTAGAAAACAATGATCAAGACGTGGCAGAGGCAGAACCTAGTGGAGATCTTGAACATGATCAGGGTAAGGCTGAACCTATTGTAGTTCTCAAGCAATTGGACTCAGACATGTTGAACAAAATGGAGGAGGATCAATTGAAAATAAATCATGTGGAAGAAGACAAGGATAATGTTAAATTGGAAAAGAACACTTATAAGAAAGAGAGTAAGGACAAATCCAAAGCTAAGGATGCTGATTCTCACCGTGGTAGGACTGAAAAGAAGAAAAAGCATAGGAGCAAAGAAGAAAGGCACAGTAAGAAGCATTCTAGCCGACATAGGAAGCATGATGTGGATAAGAAAGAATCTCGAAGCAGAGATAAAATTGTTGAGAGATTAAAAGAAACGTTTGGTGGCAGTAGTTCAGAAGATGAAGACAAAGCTGCAACTAAGTCTTCCAGTAAAACACAATCTGACATCAATTTTGATGCACTTTTAAACAAGTCGAATGATAAACTAGATCTGTCAGGGGAAAGTAAGCAGCTTCAAATTAATCTGAATAGGTTGGAAGAGAACCCTCAGCTGTGTGAGCGTTATGGCCTGTCGTCATTGTCACCAAGCACAGCTCAACAACCTCCTGCTCCAGTTCCAAAAAAAGCTCCCAGGAAAATAGAGATTGTTGATGCTCTTCCAAACCCTCCTCGCAAAGCAAGCAACCGAGGAATTAGTATGGAAACATCTCGAAAAATGTATGACACTGTCAGGCAAAGGAGTGTAGATGAGCCCAAACGTCCTAAGTCAAAAGAAGACACCAAAGCTCTTCGGAAGGAGAAGCTTGCCAAGGTTGCCGCACACAGTGGTTTGAAAGACTCAAGAAGTGCAGAGCATAAGCGATCAGCCCCTGCAAAGGCTAAAGTTACAATGGCTAATCGAGGTTCATTCCTTACAGAAACTGACGAATCCTCTCCCATAGTTAAACCTAAAAGCCGAAAAGAGATTTTGGAAAGTATTAAGATACCGAAGCTGAAAGATAAGGCTGTTGTTAACCTTTCTACCAAGTCACCCTTGCAGGCATTAAATTTGTCATATGAAAAGAAAGAACTACCACAGACTTCAGTGCAGTCAAATGCAGAAGCCGCTCCTGTAGAAATTCCAACAGGACCTCAGCCAAAAAAACGAGTTGCTCAGAAACCTCCTCCTGGATTTTATGAGGATACAAGACAACTACATCCATCATCTCATGGTGAAGGGCAGAAATCATTACCAGGTTTGTTTTAAAGTGCTGTTGTTATTAATTACAGTTTTTGTCTTATATTGAGATTTAACATTTTGATATTATTTTCTTTCTAATCTGAAATCCATACAGTTCCTGCTGAACATTCACTGTCAATGAAGTCCTGTCTGTCTGGCTCTTCCAAGCATAATATCACAATGAATGACTCCAAGCCCATTGCCCAGAAAAAGAAGAGAGTTCAGTTCAAAGAAAACCTTGAGGAAATTCGTTATATTGATAAATTACCTAATACAAGGAAAGTAAACTCCAGTAGAGATGCTGATAGGCCTACACCCATGAGTCATATCGTTGCCCCCAAACTACCAAAGGGACCTGCTATTCCTAATGATGAGTCAATTCTTCAAGATATTATTTATGATATCTCTAAGTGGAACCCTCTTTGGTTAAAGGTACACTAGAAAGTTGCATATCTTTTGGCTCTACTGGGAATCAGAAGCTCATCTAATTTATCAATTTGTTTCCGTTTCAAATTAAGGAAGAGAAAGATCTGCCGCCTGACGTAGTGCCTCCAGTGGTATCAAATATGGTAATGCCACCCTTACCTAAAACAGAGTTCTTAGATTTTCATGAATATCATGAAACTATGTACCCTCTTCTGATGTTGGAATTATGGAGTGGTGTTTCCAGGGAATATAATACTCGTATGAATAATTCAAGGTAAGATTTCTGTGTCAATGGAGTGGTATCTTTATGCTGTTATTATGTTCGTAAAACTGAAATTCACATTTTCCCTTTCTTTTTTGTAGGAATAATTTAATCATGGCTGTGGATAAGGCCTCCTCAGCCCCAGTTTTCTCAAGACCTGAAAGAATGTTGACAACATTAAGCTGTCATAGTAAGTTGTGTCCTATCTAACAATATTTCATGGTTTATTATTTTTCAGTATCTTTTAATTTGTCGAGTATGATTTTCAGTGCTGGTGAATGACAGACCAGGGCCAGAGCCGCCAAGACTGGGGAATTTAGTTATTATTGATCTCGCTTTAAAAGATCCTTGTAACAAGCTTGTAATAATTCCTGTGTTTGGATATGTCTCCTTTGACGCCAAGGATCGTCTCAGGAACACGGATCAATTTCACAAAGATCTAGGTACGTTTTAGCAGACTCCAGAAATTTTTTCCAATGTTTTGAACTTGATGTTCAACAAAGTTATAAGCTCTTTGTCATTGATTTATTTTTCTCATTGCAGTATCTCATTGTCCTAACCCTACATTCAAGATACGTTTCAATTTGCAAATTAAAGAAAGAAAAAACTTTACTTTTGAATTGGAAAGACCTATGAGAATAAAAGTAAGGAGCATTTATTTTCTTTGACACTTAGAGCACTATGTTCTATCTTCACTTTCTTGATTTAATTACAGCATGTTAAGTATCTCCGTGGAGATCTCCGAATGTTTCAAGCCATGAAAAACCTTGAATATATGCCTTTGCAGTATAGTGTAATTTCACCTCTAGCTGCAAGTGAAGACTTTACTCTGCCTGATGTTTCCCAGAAAAAATTAGCATTTATTGTGAGTCTAAAGTCAAAAGTATTCTGCTGTTTAAACAAAAACAAATATTAATAATAATAAGTTTACTTTATAGGAACAACTAAATCCAATGCAAACGCAAATAGTTCTTCAAACTGCAGAAGTTTGCCTGCAAGATAAGCCCAAAATATGTCTTATTCAAGGTCCACCTGGCAAGTATCTTTATTTAGATGTTACATGTTTGCAGTGTGACAAAACCTTGCTCCCACCCTCTTTAAAAAAGACTTATTTATTGCTCCTATTTTTACCTCGTCACTTTGTCTATTCTAGGAACGGGCAAAACACAAGTTATTGAGAGCCTTGTAATGCATTTGCTCTACAGAGACAGCATGTATACTCGTGCAAACCGAGAGCGGCGTTTGGTGCCTAGAATTCTACTATGTGCACCCTCTAACAATGCAGTTGATCTTTTAGTTGCTCGTCTACTTAGACGCAGAGCACGATTCGAAAGTAAGCTTTTTAGTGTATTAAATGAAATCAACCTGCTGCTTACTAAGCCTTACATTTGGTTTCAATTGTATTTCCTACAGAAGAGCATCGTTTCAAAATGGTTCGTGTTGGCCAGACTCTTCATGAAGATGTGAGAGGAGTTTCACTGCAAGAACTTGCGAATGTTGCGATGAAACAAGACAGGGCACTTCATGATTCACAAGGAGTTGATATAGACATAGGCCATTTAACAGCTAAATTGTGTGCAGTAGAAAATCAAATCAGAGATTTACAGATGAATTCCAAGCCCGTTCCTGGAGAAATAACGTTTCGCCAGGCTGATTTAATTCGTAGACTCAGAGTTCTAGAAGAAAGGAAGAAGCAGGTGAAAACCTAGTCTTTTTGCTATTACTTATAGATTCTTTGGTAGTCCACTGTCCTAAACTGTATATAAGTGAACGTTCTTAAATTGTGTCTTTTACATTTATTGCAGCAACAGCAAGCTTCCAACTCTTCACCAAAGTATGACTTTGCATTTGAGCGAGAAACCAAAAAAAAAATTTTGAGAGGTGCTGATATAATTGGTACTACATTAAATTCTTGTGTAATAAAACTCATGGAAACTGTTTTTCCACCCACTAGGTATGGCTCTGACCGCTATATTTCATAAGATATCATTTTCCTAAATCATGCTTTCACCTATCACTGAAAATGTTAATTACATGTTTTGCAGTGCTGGAAAATATCATTTTCAAGTTTGTATTGTAGATGAAGCTACCCAATGCCTTGAGGTAGAAACTTTGATTCCCCTTCTTCTGGGAGTAAAAACACTAGTTCTTGTTGGAGATCCTAATCAATTACCTGCAACAATACTGTCCAAGGTCAGAAAATAAATGTACATTTTAAAAAAAATATTTTAATGAAATCTTTTGCAACCTCCTGTTATTTTTAATTTTGTTCAATTACCTTTTCTTTTATAGATTGCTCGTGACAAAGGATTGAGTACATCATTGTTTGCAAGGCTCCAAAATGTTGTTCCAAAGGCTGTTCAAATGCTGGACATGCAATACAGGATGCATCCGGAAATATTAAAATGGCCTAACAAATATTTTTATCATCGCCGACTGAAAAGTCCAGAAGAAATTGTGAGTTGTCGAGATTCAAGAGTTCTTCCTTACTCTGTTCTGAGCCTCCCCTTCCATCAGGATTCAAGAGGGTATTTAATTTTGCTTTTCATTAATATTGTTTGAGAATGTCTTTTAAACAAACACACAATCTCACATTATTGTTTTTTGTTCGCAGTGAATCAAATTCTGAAGAGGCAAAATTAGTACTGCAGCTTTCTGAACTATTAATTGATGAAAAGGCCATACAGCATGATTTTAGAGTGGGTATTGTCACCCCATACCAGACTCAACGTCGACTCATCGAGTCAATGATAATGGGAAGGTAAGTTTCCATTTCACAACTGATAAATTTTACAAACACCTTGTTACATACTGATGTATGTTTTCTGTAACATGTATCACATTTTTTAGATTACCGAAACTCAATAAACCATTGGTAGAAGTCAATACTATTGATAGTTGCCAAGGGCAAGAAAAAGACATTATTATAATATCTTGTGTGAGGACAAATGGAGTTGGATTCCTGTCAGACAGACAAAGAATAAATGTTGCCTTGACCAGAGCCAAATATGCCATGTTTATATGTGGAAACTTTTCTTCGTTAGATGTAAGTATTTTATTATTAAATACCAATGAAACCAGCTGAAATTTAAGTGATGAAAATAGGGTTTTTGCCCATATTTATTGCCTTTCTCATGTGGTTGATTTCATGCTGCTGTTTCAGAGGGATTCAATGTGGAATAATCTTCTCACAGATGCAAGACACAGAAAATGTTTAATAGAAGTGCGTAACAATTACAACAAAGGGGATCTGTGGAATCTCATTTCAAAAAAGTAACTGAAGCATGTACTGCTGGTTCTTGGATGGAACAGACCTTGAACTGTATATATATGGTTGATTATTATTGTTGAATTTTGATGCTCATAAATTTATCATCTTGTAATGTAATACTAGCAACTAACATTGACTCTCATTGTTTTGTATTACTCGGTTGATTTTGCAGTAAGGTCATTGTTGTTCACTGACTCAAATTTGTGGAGGGGGTTTAGCATCTTAAATTAATTTATTCCATGCCATTTTTATGAGTCATGATCATTTTCTTCATTGATGAAGGAAGCAATTTCATTTGCTTGTGGCATTAAGAACAATTTCATTCATGGCTAAGCTCACAATTTTCAATGACGCTTTTCTTTTTCTCTTAACTTTTTCAAAGGGTTCGTCTTTGAAGCAGTGCTATTTATCTACCCCTTTTGTTACGACTTTTTAATCATGAGCTTGCTCAATACAATTTGACGTAAAGTAGATAGTTCTCTATATTATCAACTACAATTTGCTCTTTTTCATTAAAAGCATATCATGTTGTAGAAACCTCAGCTAAATCCATCTCAAGTTTATTTAGAGAGAATGTTGTATTACTTTGCACAGTGTTTCTGTATGTTGATGTTGAATGGTTTAGTGTAAATATTTGCTATGTACTAGTCTGAAAAACTTGTATTTTTATACTGGAATCAATCTGAATTTTGTATTTATTTCCTTTGTGTAATAGAATGTTGTAAATATCCTTGTACTCTCTGCTCATTTACATTTCATCCTCACCCCACACATGCTGATGCTGACTTCAGACACCGGGAGTGTTCAGGACGTCCTGACCGCGCCCTGCGGTTTTAAATGTCCCGCTTCACGGCTGGCACAACCACAACAGTTGTTTTGACAGACAACCTCTTCACCTTCACAGCTGATTAGAATGTCACCTCCCCGCCGAGTATCAAGCTCGGATTCTGCAAGAGCGTTTTCGTGACGAGACTACCTGTTCTCGTTGAGCTGCGCTGGAGCCGCGTGTTTGGGATTGTTCCACTCGCTGCCGGTGGTCCAGTCTCGGCCCCCGCGGCCCGGCCGGCCGATCAGGTGATCGTCAGTCCCTGTCTCGTCCTCGCACTCGCAGCCATGGCCGGGTCGTTGCCTGCAGGTCCTTTATCCGGACCCAATAGCGACAACGGCAAAGGCAATGGACTCCTTTTGTACTTTCATCACTATTCGTTTTACTCCCAAAAGGTTTGTTGATCCTTCCTTCAGCTTGAAGGAATCTCTCTTTTATGTTCCGTTGAGTCCAGTTCAAGTTTCGGTTGACTGTGCAGGTTATGTTTCTCTTAGTCTTTTTGTTGTTATTACGATCCACGGTCTGACTTTGACATGACTTTTTTTTTTCACCTAAAGTTGTTAACGAAGATTACAGTCCTCATCTCCTGAAATAATGTTTTAGCTTGGCGGACTTTATTTTCAATTTCGTTTTATGATTAAACCTGTTGAATATTTGAGTGTTTGTTTTAAATTCCTTTTTTTTTTCTTCTCAATATTTTAAATTTTATTTTATTGATTAGTGTTCGAGCATTTTGCCTGCATGTTGCTTGAACCATAGAGACGTGGATTGGGGGTTTCCCAGATTTAGTGCACCAACAGCTACAATATGAATTACTAGGTGATATTTCAGTAGTTCTTTAAGTTACATCGATGGGGCTCTAAATAATAACACTTAAATATTTCGGAAGACAATTGTGGAGCAATTTCTTCAAGTCTTTGGTAGAAAAACAGGCAGGGGCCTTTTAAAGTTTGTCTAAGTTGGGCAGAATTGTGGGGAGACACATAGCTTTCAGTAATTTTAGTAATTATAGACAATGGTAAAGACCGATTTTCTCATTATTGTCTATTGAATTTTTGAGCATGATTGTCGGACTTCTCTCTTGCACGATCACGTTAGACTTAGTTTTAGCATGAGAGAAGGGCGCCCTTCTCTCATGGTTTCAGCCCCTGGAAACTCCCTGTGAGTCGTTGCTTGAACTATTTTATACTTGCATTTCTTCTTTTGTTTCAGGTGGTAATGGCATTGCATGAAAAGAAAGTACCTTTCAAGACGCATTTAGTAAATGTTCCCAAGGGTGAACAATATGATCGATGGTTTATGGAAATAAATCCAAAAGGGGATGTACCAGTCTTGAAGGATGGCGTTAAAATTATCCCAGATTCGGGAAGAATTTTAGATTATTTAGAAGACAACTTTACCAATGGTTAGAGACTATTGACTACATTACCGTCGCCTTTCTATTCATCTGGTCTTTAATTATGTTTCTTTGCTATTCAGGGGGAACACCTCTTATTCCTAAGGACCAAGGGATGGAGATTCGTCAACGAGTTCTCCATTTCCGAACCTTGCTTGACCAACTGCCAGTCAATCATATCACTGCGGGATCTATCTATCACACTGATCTAATGTGCAAACCTAAACTTCCCTATGTTACTCCATTTCGGCAAATGCTTAGAGGTTCGTTAAGATTAAAACATACTTCATGAACTAATTTCTTTCTGGTTCGTTTTGGTAGTGTTCTAATTATTGTTGTCTCCACTCCTTTCTGTTACTAGGTTTAGTTTTTGCACTTTTTATTCAATTTTCATTCAATTAAGTGTTAAAAGAATTGTTTCCTGTAGTTTCAGAAGTAAATCAAGAAAAATACATGCGTCAACATGCTGAAAATAACCCTGATTTTCGTGAGATACTGCTGCAGAGAGCAGAACTAGTGAACCAAAAGCGCAAGTCTATTGTTAATCGAGATGAATACATCAAAAGGCTGGATCAGCTAGACTCAGTTCTTACAGAAGTGGAAGCGGAGCTAGTATCTCACAGTTCAGGTATGATATATTAATCTAATCAATAAGGTATGCGAAAAGTTAAAACTAGGATTTTGCCCACATACCGTAGGCCGGGGTAATATGAGACAATTTCGGGGTAATATGAGACGCATTTTTATCGTTAGAATTATAATTTTCGTGGCATTTGATGACTCATCCCTGTCAAACTTCACGGCGAAAAATGGTACCAACAAAGAGTAATTAATTTTTTACAGCAGTGGCTCTCTTTGTGGCCGAATACCGAGCTCAGAGTGAATCTTGCGCAAACCAAACTCCGTCTCATATTACCCCGAAATTGTCTCATATTACCCCGGCTTACGGTATGTTTTTCATCTTGAAATGTTTAGAGCTCTTACACAGCTTTTTTCCCCACTCTCACCTGATAAAAAATGTCTTTTATTTGCAGATCAAGCAGACTGGTGGTTATGCAGTCCAAATTTTAGTATTGCTGATGTTGCCCTCACTGTTCTTCTGGACCGTCTTAGTGCACTTGGCCTGCAAGAGCGATTTTGGAATCAGAGCAAACGCCCCAACCTTGACTTGTATTATAAGCGGGTTCAAAACCGAGATTCATACCAGAAAGCCATTCCCTCTTCTTTCGTACATCTACAGTTGTTACTTATGATGACTCCGCGTGTGGTGAGGGTGGGCACATGTTTTGTGGCTGCACTGGCAGTCATAGTTGGTGGATATTGGTATCTAAAGAGAAAGTAGGAATTCACTGATCTTAAGAACGTTAGTGCTGGTTTTGTGGCCCATATGTAGTGTGCTTTGCATTTATTTTGAATAATTTTAGTCTCTGAGAAGTCTAGCTATGATTTCAATGCAACAAATCATGTGAAAAATTTTTATTTGCAGGCCATTTCTATCACATGTTATGAAATTGTTTGCCTCCAAGTAAGATCTGTTGTCGTTCTCATTATGGCAGTTCTATTCTCTCTAATTCAGTATTTGTAGGTAACTAATGCTTCTGTCACAAGCCCTTGAATTTCTTCCCCTCATCTTGTTGCTCAAAAAATTGAAAGGAAGGGAGAACTTTGGCATTTCCTAAACGTGCACCATTTTGTTCAATATTTTCTTTACTTGCTTCTTTTGCATGTTTTCAAGCATCACATAGCGAAATTCCAAATTTATTAACAATTTACCCTTTCCTTGTGAGATGGTCTTATTTTTGGGGGTTTGCATGCGCTGAAGAAGGAAAATACATGACATTCTAGAAAAAGTTTTCTGTGCGAAAAATTTTCTAGCTAATATTATTACCTGTGGCTGATCTTTGATCTTGAATATTGTCCTCTTTGCTTTACACCTAATGTGTAAGTTTTTTTTTTTTCATGCTGTGTCTGTTTGTGTTTTTTTGCAAGGAAACAATCGCCTGTGTCTATAGTTTCATTACATATGACAATGTCTGAACATTTCAATGGCTTATATTTTTTGTAGTATAACACCAAATTCTTAAACAGGCGGCTGTGATGTTGTAGTCTTTATGGAGGCCTGACTTAGTGTTACGCCTTTGGAATGCTGTGATAGAGATGGTGCAGTTTAACTGTTTTCTTTTTTTTTCTGTTCTAATTTTCTTTTCTGTTTTAAAAAAGTTGATGAACTCTGTTGTTCTACTTGATAAGTAAGAAAATAGGAGAGCCGATTGTAGTAGTTACGATTTCAGTTTTAATGTAATTGTTTGTCATTATACTAGTTTAAATTTTAATTGCTGCATAGTGCACTACATTTTTTTTAAAGATACAAAGCATTGTCTTCTTTGGTGGTGGTTAGTTTGACCGTTTATATGTTTGATTACATTTGCTGGTCTAGTTGTACAAACTAAACCATTCCACATCTCAGCCTTGTTAATTATTCACGTGCAAGTTTTATTTATTGTGTGCATTGAATATACTGTACTTGTATATAAGACTGTTTAAATGCTCATGCTACTTGAGATATAAGCTGAGTATTATGGGTATTACTCTTAATAAATTGTCTAATTTCTTAATCCTTGTACTTTGCTTCAACATCTTATCTTTACTCCTATCTCATTAAAATGGAAAGGCTACTAACATAACCCACAGAAAGTTCTGGTAAGAATGCTGATAAATATAAACACAGCAAATTAAAATCAAGTATATATTTCAAAGGTCTTCTTGTTTCGGAGTTCAAATAGCCACTCTAGTGGTACAGAATCAATTGGATGGTCTAGGAAAGATTAATAGCTGATACAAATTAAAATAATAATCGGTAGAGAGCAGATTTTTAACAAAATACATTGAATACAAACATTTCCCTGTCTCATGTAATTTACATTGTGTTGCATACAAGAACAGTTCAAATAATGAAGTTAGACCATTTTGGTTTGCACAATCTTGAATACACTTTAAGATTGCAATATTGTGCAGGCTGGAACACAAATTACTGTGGAGCCTCAAAGGCCACAACAGCTTCTAGAAAAGCAATAAATAACAAAACAAAAACGGTAAAAAACGTTTACCCAAAAATTAAAGCTTAAACAACATACCATTAACTATATTATGAAATTCAACAGAAAAATGCAAAGATTGAAACAAAAATAATACAAAATAATGAAATAAAACGAGTAACCATGAATCACAACAAAAATTTGTATCTCCTTTTCCCCCCCAATAGAAAAGCTGTTATAAGACCAACTAACTACATTAAAAATCACTGATTGCACTGGACCCATTGTTAACTGCTTCAGTTTTATCAACATCCTGAGCTTTGAGACCATACAAAGGCATACCCATAAATCGAGGAAGTTGTCCTTTTGCATTAACAGAGGCAACTGACTTTCTTTTCTTCATGGGAACATCTGACTGTACTTTGCCTTTATACTTAAACAGACCTTCCCCTGGCAAGTCAGGAATGAGTTTGGGCATGGTATACCAGCCCCGATAAGTTACAAACCATATGAAGATTGCAATAACTCCAGCCAGAAGTTTTTCTACCATATTATGAAAGTACAACATTGTGAAAATGAGCATAAAGTCCCACAATACAGAGAAACATGTCATTAAAATGAATAGCAGTCTCACAAGAGGAGTGAATCGCTCATAGCAAGACTTTAAGATGATAAATTCACTTTCTGTTAGATTCCCAAGGGGACTCGAGGTGGCCACTGACCTGCTATCTTCTGCATTTGAACGAGTGAAGTATTCGTCTCGAATTAAGTCTCTAATTCTCTCCCAACCTACGATGGCTCTAGCTTCTTCAATCAAAATTAAACTGCTGTATACTAAAATGAAGGCATGCCCAGATATGTGAAAGCTGTGCCAGTATTGGCCGTTGGCAAGACATTGTTGTTTGGTGAAGTCACCCTTTGTGCTGCATTTACCGTAACTAACCTCAATATAATCGAAGAGCTTCGTCCAGAAAAACCAGGAGGTCGTTGCTACACACAAGCGAACAAAATGTTTGAGAACTTTGTCTCGTTTCCCACAACAAATGGTGTAACTGGTGAGCGCAAGGAATGGTATGGTTACAATCATTGTCCATCCCCAACCAAATTTCACAAAGCACTGGTTTAAAATATTGTCTGATCTGGAGAAATAACTCCTCGGGATTGGCATGACATCCCCAAGCAATGACACCAAGAAAAGAGAAAAGCAATAGACTGCGACCCTCTTGGTGGTGTCTACAAACACTATTTTTCTGCAGATGTGCAGAACCATCATGAGTAAGACATTTCGTATAGAGGATTGTTCAGGCACAGGCTTCGTCCCCTTGGCTTCCGACTTTGAGTTTTCTTGACTCATTGGTCTAAAATTTAAGTTAGAAGTCCCAGAGTAAGTGTAGATAGGTTTCCTCTTGGTCGCCATTGTTGGTGATCCAGCTGTATCTTGAAGGAGGCCAAATATACTGGAAGACAAGAAAAGAGGACAGTGTGACAGCTGTTGTCAACGACTGAAATAGCAAACAAACCATCTCATCGAAGTGGACACGAACCATTTAAAAGCTCCTTGACCACTCTCGTGATGCAGCAGAAAGCTGAGGTTAAAAAGATGCTAATTCGGCACTGCCTTTTCGTTCACGTCCAAACGCCCTGCACACCGCTAACCTTCCCCCCCCCCCCCTTTCCTCCCACGCTAGAGAAAAGACAGGACAGCAAACTGTTGCCTCGCTGTGGTAGGAGCCCAGCTCAGCCTAACCATCCATCAAATGTGTCCTACTGCCTTTCGTCCTTCGCATTCAGTTCCACGATAGCGATAGCACGATACTGCGTGTATTGGTCGGCCAGGTGGGAGGGGAATTCCGAGAGTCGTTTTCGTCGCTCTGTCTCCCTCCCACTCATGGGGCGCCCCGTGTGGGTGCGAGAGAGACAGAGCGACGAAAACGACTCCCGGAGTCAGTGAATCGTCTTCACATGGTCCTCAGAGCCACGGCTTGCTTCTTCTTCTTCCGAGCCACGCTGCCACCAGTTGGGTTGCCTATGCTGGCATTGGCAGGGGCTCCTGCACCCCACCAGACCCCACACACTACCACGGCGAGGCAGTAGTGCACCGAACAAACAAGGATGGAGGGAGAACAACAACCGAAAATCGTTTTCAAGCCGTCAGTTTATTGCCGAAATCATTTGTACAGGTGGTGGCCGTAGGCGTAGGGGGCGCTGTAGGGGCTGTAGGCGCTGTAGGCGAGGGGCGCGTGCGCGTAGGAGATGGCGGGGGCGTAGGTCTTGATGACGGGGGCGGCGTAGTGGACCGGGGCAATGGCGATGGACGGCTTGTCGATCTGGCGAGCAAACATAAGTCATGAGAAGGACGATCCGCTATCAATGGCTTTCAGGGAGGTCAGGACTAGACTGATTCGGAGAGAGGTTTTCGTCGCGCTGCCCCTCTCGCACTCTTAGGACGTTCCGTATGAGTAGTGCGAGGGAGGCAGAGCGGCGAAAACGACTCTCGGTATCAAGTTTGCTGCGTTGCGAGAGGGCCGAGACGGCCGAGAGGACGCACCTTGGTGAAGGACTGGTAGGAGGTGGCCACGGGTGCCTTGTAGACGACGGGCGCGTGGTAGGCGATGGGCGCGACGTGCGCGATGGGGGCCACGTGGGCGATGGGGGCCTTGAGCACGGTGGACGTGGAGTAGCCATACGAGGTGATGGCGGGCTCCAGGTAGCCGGCAGAGGCCATGGCGACGGCGGCGCACAGGACGATCTGCGCGACAAGGAGTACGAGTACACGTTAGCGCGACGCAGGACTCGCCACAGGCACGGCCCAGACAACGCCCAACAAGCGGCAAGCAGACTGATTCCGAACACTGCATGCCACTCCGTCTCTCTCGCACCCTTGGCGAACGCCCCGTGGGTACGAGAGAGACAGGTGGACGAGAACGGCTCTCGGAATCGGTCCACTGGCGCCCAGTCCATGATGTCGTGTCATCTGCTACATCTGCTGGATGCCGCGGCACCCACAACGCGTCCAGTAGCACGTGCTGCCTCCAAGGCGCCCCTCGAAGGGAGCCAACTCACGAGGACGTGCCTCGGGGCTTGGACAGCGCCTCGGAGATGCCGATGCGACTTCTTGTGCACTCCCCGCTCCTCTCCTCCTCCTCCTCCCCTCCCCCTGGTGCGGCCATGCGTTGCCGTGTGTTGTCGTGTGTCGCGTCCTTGCGCCCGGCGACGCTCCGAGCGACGAGGCGCATCGCCTGGAAGCGGATCGGATGGGATTGGATCGCATGGAACGGCAAATGGATGCGCAGTGCACGGCGGCGCGCCAAGCCACTGTGGGGCTTCTTCCCTATCCCTTCATTGGAGTCAGGGGCATAGCCATTCAGAAGAGTCACCTCGCCGCTCCGGCTCTCTCGCACTCATGGAGCTGCACTCATGGAGCTCAGACCGATCTTCTGAATCACTAGGCTGGCGTAGGTCTTCCACTTGTTCCTCGGAACAAAGGGTTGCCTGTCTCGACTGTCTCACTCAGACTGCCCACTTTTCCACGCGCGCAGCGGACGGCAGCAGGGAGACCACGGGGAAGTCCCAAGTCTCCATGCCAAGTCCCTACCGTCGGTACGGTCGCACTGTAAGTCAGTCACTTTGCAGGGCACGGCACTGTCGGGCTGCAGGCACGGTCACTTGGTCACTTCACTTGACTCTTTCACACGCAAACGCGTCACTGCGTCACTCGCGACGTCGAGGGCGCGGCTAGCGCGGCACGGCGCGGCACTCACCAGCTTGAACATGGCGGTGATGTTTGGTGCTCTGGTGGTCGGAGGGTCAACACGAGTCGCTGCACTCACTGCACCGGTGCTACAGGACTGTGAATGCTGCCCCGGCGGCTCTCCGGCTTTATATACGCCTCCACAATCACGAAAAATAATGCAAGACCCCGCCGCGGACCCGCCCCGCCACGCGGCCGCCGCGTCGGGGGGCCCTCGGCCCAAACGCAGCTCGGGCGCCCCACCGCGCCCCACCCCGCCTGGAGGGGTGAGGGTTCAGGCCGGAAGGGGCAAGGACACGCGGAGGGGAGGGGGTGGGGGCCCCCGCGGCACGCACGCCGGCAAAGTCAAGAGCAGACGTTCCGAGTCCTCGGCCGGTGCAGCTGACACACTGACTGACTGCGCCTCGCGCGCCTCGCGTGAAAACGCGAAGGCCTCATTCCATTCCGCCACAGCCCTTCGATTAGGCGGGTGGCTGCAGCAGCTGGTGTCAGGGTTGCAGGAGACTGATTCCGATGGCCGTTTTCACGTCGCTCTGTCTCTCTAGCACTCATGGGGCGTCCCGAAAAAGCGAGAGAGACAGGAATCAGAGCGGGGTCTGCCGAAGGCCCCGCGTACGTATTGGTTCGTTGTCTAGCCCGCAAGCCGGCATGCTGTGTCGAAACGCGGCACGCGGCGTGCGGCGGCCAGGTCGTGCGCCGCGGCCTGCTCGGCCTGCTCGGCCTGCAAGGCGTCGTCGGGCGCGTGGCGCGAGGCGGGGCGGGCGGCATGCCGACCGATGCCAATGGCAATGCTTGGATCCGCAGGGCGCGGTCGTCGTGGTGGTGGTGGTGGTGGTCGTCGTCGTCGTCGTGATCATGGTGGGGGTCGTGGTCGTGGTGGGTGGTCGTCGTCGTCGTGGTGGTGGTGGTGGTGGTGGTCGTCCGTCGTCGTCGTGGTGGTCGTGGTGGTGGTCGTGGTGGTGGTGATGGTGGCGGTCGTGGTGGTGGTCTTGGCGGTCCTCGTGGTCGTCCTCGTGGTCGTCCTCGTGGTCGCTCGTGGTTGTCGTCGTCGCGTGCTGGGGCTTTTTGCAGCTGGGGATGTCGTCTGTGGGTTGGAGGCCATGCGTCGAGTCCATCCCCAGCACAAGTCGGTGCTTTCTCGCTCCTGGGGGTGCGCTTGGTGCGGCTTGGTGCTTGAGGCCGTTCGCAGATACGGCTCTAGAATCGTTTTTCGGAGGCGCCCATATGTCACACCTTTCGCCTGCCTTCAGGCTGAGTTCCATTTCTGTTGCCTAGGGCGTTTCCAGATCGGGGGGAAGGGGGGAGCCCCCCATGGCCACCCCCTAGAGCCGCCATTGCCACTGGTCGTTCCCCGCATAGCAGTGCGTCGGCCAGTGCGGCTGGGAGACTTGCAGAGACTTGGGCGCGCGGTGGAACAATAGCCGCGCGGTGGCACCACGGTGGCACTTAGGGGCGTTTAGCGGCGCGCGGCGGCGTGCCGTCGATGCATGGCGAACATGGCGATGCACTTTACTCCAGGCCGCTGCTGGCTATTAGGCCCAACAGTTTCTTAACGCTCAATCGTGCCATTTCGCCTTTCTTGCGAAAAAGGGACAAATAGTTACAGTGCCGGGTTCCTTGCACGGTTACCTCCCGGCTAGTCAGGGTCCAGTCCAATGTATGGCTTCTCCCCGCCAGCAGACTGATTCCGAGGGTCGCTTCGTCGTTCTGTCTCTGCCACGCCTGTATACGGGCCGCCCCATGAGTGCGAGACAGACGGCGCGACGATAGGCTAACGAGTCTCGGAGTCAGTCTCGAGGGGGTAACCACTCGCGTAATACCCTGTACATGAAAACCGTGTATTACGCGTAATACACATGATCGTAATACCGTTTGTGGGTCAAATGAGCCAAATTTTTGCATTTTAAGGTCGTAATACATGTGTAATACCCCCGTAATACAGCGTAATACCGAGTAGTCTGTACACGATTTCTTGAAGTGTTTACCCCCTCGGTCAGTCTGCGAGCCAGCATGGCGCCTGTCCGACCATGTGCCGTCTGCCGCACTGCAGCTGCAATTCCATTGCTAGGTTTCCTTGCCACTCCAGTGGCGCTCCGTTTTGAATGCCAAAATTTCGCGTCCTGTGCCAATGTTCGCTGCGAGTGGAGTGGACGTCTCGTTCCGACGAGCCTTGGAGCCGCGCGAAGGATGAACGGAAAAGCCCTCCGTCGGCCGAAACGGGAACTGGGAGGAGGATGGCGGCGGGCAGCCTTGTTTTCGACCAGACCCGCCTTATCTGCACGGCAGCCTTGTGCACCGCGTGCGTGATCCAAGCCAAGCGCGGGCAGTGCCGGCAGCGAGGCAAGCAAAGCGTCTCGCTGGCCGGCGCACAGTGGGCCCGATGGAGGCGGCCAAAACTCTAGACGCGGTTTGAGCTCCAGAGTCGCTAAGTAGGACTCGAACCGAACGTGTGACCCCACCATTGGATTCCTCGTTCGGTGAGCAATCCATGGTAGTTCGAGTCCCAACTCTGGGGTTCAAATGCTCTGGTTTCGAGTGGTCTTCGCCCATGTGCGGCGCTGCAGGCGTCCTGAGACTCTGGAGCTCAACAGACTCTCGGAGTTTTTCGTCGCTCTGGCTTCTCGGCACTGTGCGGCGCCCTGCCAAGGCGTCCTGCCAAGGACCGGCCAGCCGTCCACAGCAGACTCACTCCGAGAGTCATTTTCGTCGCTCTGCCCTTCTCGCACTCGTGGGGCGTCCCGTGCAGGTGCGAGGGAGACAGAGCGCCGTAGTGGCCGTAGGCAGGGCCTCCCTCGCCTCGGTCGGTGCCTCGGTCCGCGAGTCCGCGACGAGGTGCGCGACGTCGCCTTCCCCTTCCCGCCGGCCGCCCGGGCAAATGGGGCGGCACACTGCGCACGGGGCGCGCGGGAGGACGCCAAGGACGTGGGAGACGCGGTCAGCAGGGGACCGTGACACACCGTGATGCGACGGGACGCGACGGGACGCGACGGGACGCGACGGGACGCGACGGGACGCGACGGGACGCGACGGGACGCGACGGGACGCGACGGGACGCGACGGGACGCGACGGGACGCGACGGGACGCGACGGGACGCGACGGGACGCGACGGGACGCGACGGGACGCGACGGGACGCGACGGGACGCGACGGGACGCGACGGGACGCGACGAGTCGGGCCACGGCGGCACGGCCGGAGATAGGGCTGCCGAGCGATCCCAAAGAGTCCCTTCCCTTCGTCGCTCTGTCCCTCTCGCACCCCTCCGAGATGCCCCACTTGGGCCCCACAGAGACAGAGAGACGAAACGGCCAGGGCGCCTGGCTCGGCCACACCATCGCGCGCAACGAGAACGTTGTCAGTTAGGTCGTGACTGCGACGCTGCAGCGAGTGTCCTCCCAGAGCGTTCCAGCGTTTTGGGGCGCCAGGCAACGACTCTGGAGCTCAAAACGCGTCTAGAGTTTTGCCACCTGCGCCGGTCGTCTGGCCCACTGTGCCGCTGCCAGGCTGCTGGAATGCGCGTGGACGCCCGCAGTGCCCGCAACGCTGCGATCGACGCTCGAGTTCGAATGGCTGCTACCTTTCTTTCGGCACAGGCTGCTTGCTGCTTTTGTTGTTGATGGCGATGATAACGATTATGTCGCATTGCGACACGCCGGGTAGAAACTCCAGGACTTTGTGGGCGGCGCTGGGAAGGGTGGGAACGCCACCGTTTTCTTCTTGCTTATTGTCTCTGTCTCTTCGGCGGACCGCCCCGCCCCGCCCCGCCCCGCCCCGCCCCGCCCACCCCGCCCCACCCCACGGCGCGTTCTATCCAGTTCGGCCCTTCCGATGGATCAAGCTGCACCGGCCAGCAGGCTGATTCCGAACCGTGCTGTCGTCGCGCTGTCTCTCTCGCACTCGTGGGGCACCCAGCCAGTCGAGCGAGGCCGGCCGGTCCGGCCGATGGGAACAGCGACGGCCCGGCGAAACCAAGAATGGGCGCGGTGTAACCCCAACCCGTCCTGTCCCGCAGTTTGTTACGGAGCGTGCCGCCCTGGCTGCTGCCGGACATCGGCGACCCGGCACTGGGAAACCGCCCCACCGGAAAATTAACGGAACAACAGTGGTAGCGAGTGGTATTCACGGGCGCGTTCAAGAAAGGGAGAAATGCGCCCGGCACACAGTGGCCCAGAAGACCGGCGCAGGCGGCCAAAACTCTAGACGGTTTTCGAGCTTCAGAGTCGCTGAACAGGACTCGAACAAAACGTGTGGCCCCACCAATGGATTCCTCGTTCCGAGAGCAATCCATTGGTGGGGTCACACGCTCGGTTCGAGTCTCATTTAGCGACTCTGGAGCTCAAAACGCGTCCGGGACTTTGACCGCCTTCACCGGTCTTCTGGGCCACTGTGCGGCACGGCAAAGGACCTTAAGATCCGACGTCCTCTATGAGTCGTGGAGTGGATAGGGTGCAGAAAGGCGCGCAAGCCACGCAGCGCAACGCAGCGCGGTGCGGACGGTCCCGTAGTTGCTGTGTGTCCGTGGTGGCGGCGCTGGCGGCCGTGCGAACGCGCACCAACAATGACGCGACTAAAAACAACATTGTGTGTGCAGTGCACCTCCTCACGTGTTTTTTCCGTCAAAAACAGGGAAAGAGTGCAATGCCATTCAATCAATTCGGGATGGTTGTTTGCCCCTCAAACACGTGATTGTAGTGCTTCGTTGAGCACGTGTTGTGCCGCCTTGCGCGCCGCGCGGCCGCCTGCACTAATCTCGATTCCGCCCTTCGATCTACGAAACTACTCGCGGTACCCGGTACAGAGTGACTGACCAGGCGCCACGAGGCTCGAGGAGGTCCGAGGAGGTCGCAGCCCTCCCGGCGTGGCACGGCGCGGCGCGGCGTGGCGCTCGACTGCCAAGGCCGCCTCCGGCTGCTTCGCCACCACGCCGCCGTGCAGCGCCACGCCACGCCAAGGCTCTCTGATTACCGAAGGCACCAGGCACCGAAGGGATTGGCCAAGCTGCGAGTCAAGCTCCGAGAGTGTGGTGAGCAGCGCGTCGTGCCCACACTGGTGCCACCAGGGCGCTAACAGTCTCGGCCCGCTTCCCTGCA